GCTGAGGCAGGAGGATCGTTGTGAGTTCGAGGCCAGCCTGGGCTACAAAGTGAGCTCAAGGCCAGCCTGAACTGCACAGTGAGACCCTGTCTCAAAAAGACCAAAAAAAAAAAAAAAAAGCAATATGGTGGACTGATGTTCACGAAATCTGACCCAAAGCAACACAACTAAAACTGCTATATTTAATATGTTAGGCAATTCATTTTTTATAACTGCTTTAGTGAGATATAATCCATAAACTCAACTCAATGGTTTTAGTATATTTGCAGAGCATGCAGACTTCATCACAATCAATTTTAGAACATTATCAGTGCTCCAAAAAGGAACCTGCTAGCAGTCACTCTCTGTGTCTCTCTAGTGCCTCCAAGCCCTGGAATCTACTAATTTACATTGTCTCTCTATGAATTTGCCTTTTCTGGACATTTAATGCAAATGAAATCACATAATTTATGGCTTTTTGTGTTTGGTTTCTTTTACTTTAGCAAGTGCCATGGTCAAAAAAACAAAAAACAAAAAACTACACCAAGTCATAATAGTCAAGATTAGAAAAATTCAACACAAGAACAGAATATTAAAAGCTGTTAAAGAAACAAATCACTTATAAAGCAAAACCCATCCGAATCACAGCAGACTTCTCAATACAAACCCTCAAATCAAGGAGAGCTTGGAGTGAAGTACTTCAAGCCCTAAAAGAATACAACCTCCAACTAAGATTGATGTACCCTGAAAAACTATCAAAACTGATGGAGAAATAAGATACTGCCATGACAAAGAACTGAAGAAATTCATAAACACCAAACCAGTACTCTAATAAAATGTTCTGAAGGATAGTCTACAAAGAGATAATGAAGGTTACAAATCCATGGACCCCAACAGAATGAATCCACTAGACAAGGCATGCAATTAAACAAAGGGGAAAAAAGGAAACATGAAAATAACATGACAAGGATAAGTCAATACATATCACTTATAACCATCAATCATTTTTTTTTTTTAACCATCAATGTTAATGGTCTCAATCCACCAATCAAAAGAAGCAGACTGGCAGAATGGACCAAGAAGCAAGATCCAACAATACGCACACAAGAAACACATTTAATGCAAAAAGAAATTCACAGACTGAAAGTCAAAGCATAGAAAACAATACTCCATGCAATAGGAACCCAGAAAAAAGCAGGGGTTGCTATTCCATTTGCAGAAAAAGTGGATTTCAAGACTTGATTAGAAAAACAAAGAAGGTCACTACATTCTTTATCATGGGAACAATCCAAGAGGAAAAGAGAACAATCATAAATCTATATGACCAAATACCAGTGCACCCAACTATATAAAACAAGTATTAATGGACATGAAAAATCAAATAAGCACTAATACAGGGCTGGGGATTTAGCTCAGTGGCATAGCGCCTGCCTGGCAAGGTCAAGAGTTCGATTCCCAGTACCGGAGAAAAGCCAAAAATAAATAAATAAATAAATAATAATATAAAAGCACTAATACAATTTAATGGGGGACTCTGTTATGGGGATTTGTATCTGGATGTCCCTCCAAAGCCTCATGCAATAATGGGGTGGACTCCTAGAGTTTTTGATTAATCCATGGCCCAATGCTAGGATTATGGGTGTGAGTGCTACACCCACCCAAGGGTGGGTAGCCTGCATACAATAAGGAAAGGACAGAGGCTTGCTCTCTGCTGCTCCTCTCTTTTTGTTCTTGTTGCTTTTGTTGTTTTCCACCACCATGAACAGTTGCCCTCTGCCATGTGCCACTCTGCGTTGGAGCCAGCTGAGTATGGAATGAACCCTCCACAAACTGTGAACAAAATAAACCTTTACTTCTTTAATTTTGGGTGTTGGGTATTTGTCTCAGCAATGAGAAAAGTAACTAAGACAAACAGACCCATTGTCACAAATAGCCAAACATTAGCCAAAAGATCAACCATGAAATGTTAGAGCTGAACCAATCTTTTGAAGAAATGGACATAGTAGATGTCTACAGTGTTCCACTTAGTAGATTCTACATAAACCAGTATCAACATCAGAGTACACATTCTTCTCAGCTGCACACGAGACATTCTCCAAAATAGACCAGATACTAACTCGTAGAACATGCTTAAGCAAAGGCAAAGGAATTGAAATTACTCAATGCATATTATCAGACATAGTAAAATGAAATTAGAAATCAATGGCAAATGAAACCACAAGAACTTCATAACACATGGAAATTAAATAACGCCATCCTGAACAACCACTGGGGCACAGATGAAATTAGACAGTTTCTACAATTAAACAATAATGCCAATTAAATAATAATGTCAGGAACTTGTAGAACACAATGAAAGGGGTCCTGTGAGGGAAATTTATAGTGGTGAATTCTCATATCAGGAAAAGAGCGAGCTCAAATAAATAACCTAATGTTGAATCACAAGCTTCTGGAGAAAGAAGTGCAGGTCAACCCCAAAGCTCATATGAGAGAGGAAATTATAAAGATCAGAGCAGAAAGTAATGCAATGGAGACTAAGAAAATAATACAAAGAATCAATTAATCAAAGAGTTGGTTCTTTGATAGGTTAGATAAAACTGATAAAATCTTAGTCAATTTTATCAAAAAAGGAAAGAAAAAACTCAAATCCATGCAATTAGAAATGAAAAATGTGAAATCATGACAGAGCCTGCAGAAATCCAGAAGATCATCAATATCTACCTTGAAGACCTCTATTCTAATAAGATGGAAAACAGAAAAAATGGACAGATACCTAGATACATATGACTTACCAAAGCTGAATCAAGAAGATATAAAAGGGGGCTGGGGATTTAGCTCAGCGGCAAAAGCACCTGCCTGGCAAGCGCAAGGTCGTGAGTTCGGTTCCCGGGACCGGAGAAAAACCAAAACCAAAAAAAAAAAAA